CATTCTTCGCACTCCATATATAGACTAACATATTTGCGCTGTTGCCCCCAACCACACTTGGAGTGGGTTGTTTCCGTAGGTGGATTTTTGACACGGGTCTTGCCCGTGTTGAGATTGCGCTGGAACCCCCATTCCCTATACTACTTTCTTGWGTATATAAGTGTCTTAACAACAAAGACAACATTATTTTATTGGCTGTGTATAATCAAATTGAAATTGGAGTTTATAACCAATAAAATATAATAAAATATATTAACAAATGACATCCTTATTCATGTTTCGTTCTTACATTTCTCTCATCATTTTACATCTTAAATTTTTCTCCCCCACTTTTTATGATGCTTCACAGTTCTTAAATTTTAAATGCTTGAAACATCATTCAGTAAAACACTGATTACATGTATGCCATTGAAGTCTCAACTCCAATGTGGACTGATACGTACATGTACAGTATATGTACTGTAAGCCCCACCAAACAAAAGTTCCTGGTCATATTTCAATCTGAGTTTAGTGAAAGGAACTTTTTAAAAGAAATCATTAAAATTACTATTAATTTGTTGACTGGTAAAGAGATCATTAAAGCATTACATTAAAATTTTTGCACAACAGGCATTTTTTTAGAGTATGTAAGTATTAGCCATGCACTGGTTCAAGTCCACATTGCAGTGCATTGTGGGATTGTTGTAGAAGACATCTTTTCAATATGCCATCCTATTTTGTTCCCAAAAACAGCCCCACAATGCACTGCAGGATTGTCAATAGAATTTTTGGTAGGCGGTTATGAAATTGAAATAGGCGGTAAACCATAAATCACTGGAGCATGCAATTGAGGCACACTTGTCACCAGTCTCACTCTTTTCACAAAAATTCAAGATGGCAGACAATATTAAATTTTGTTGTAGTTTCGATTGCGTTGCAGTTTTCGCAGTACAGCAACAAAGATTAGGTTAAAATTTATTTTATTCACACATTTTGCTAGTTTAAAGAACTTTAATCAAGATTTACAATTACTTTGGGAAGTGGCTGAGTAGGCGGCTGAGTTAGTGAGAGAATTGGGAATTGGCTGAGTAGGCGGCCAAATTACGTGTAGCAAGAGTAGAGGGCGGAATCTGCCGGTTGCCTGCTTCTATTGAAAACCCTGCAGTACTGACTTGAACCAGATTTTTCCTCAACCTAAAAATGACTAATAAACAAGATGTACTCACCCTGTTACTCCCAGCTGTAGCAAAGATATGGGGACCAGAATCTTCATCTTTAACAAAATAGTTAAATTGGACAGAGAATAATGGCAGTTTATGATCTTCCTAATGTAACAATGAAAATAAAATAAAAATGATTAGTAAATGTAGAAAGTACCAGATAGAGAGCCAATGACCAATTGCAAACACAAATAAATTCTTGGAATACAACCATGTGACTGAAAAATCCCTAGAGATATAAATAACAATGAAACAGCTGCCATGTTGGTTGATCCAACAAGAAAAGCTAATGAGAAATGCTTTGCATAGTCATCCGACATGGCGGCTAACATGTACCCCAAGAATAGCAGGTTAACATATTTAATTGTATACGTCATTATAATCTCCAACCTTGGTAGGATGAAAAATAAATAAAAGATTGCTTCTATTTTATTTATGGTACACCCTCAATTAGTTGGGAATCCCTTGGAGAATTCATGGTGTACACTTCATTATTTTGCTCATGATCCGGGGTTATGTTGTCATGCTTTTTTTTATGCAATTCAGATTAAATACCAACTCAATCAAACGTGTATCACAGAGCAAACTGGAAAATATTACTGGATTTAAAGGAAATCAATACGACAAATTATTAATACAAATGTGGAAGGGTCAGTATTTAATGTAAACGGATACCTATCGATGTAATTAGCGGAATTACTTCGTGTGACTATCGATTGACCGATATCAATGGATACCAATTAACTATTTTTTATCGATTAATATCGATTTATTGACTGATTTCCGATGATCGACTGTCATCGATTAGTGGAAGTAAATAACTCTACAGGTCCCAAAACGGAACAAGTGTTGAAACAAAACATCAAATTTAAACTAAAAACATGGATACCTTGAGGAAATTCGAGCATCTAAACGCGATGTTTTTTCTTTTCTTCTTTCTCTTCCCACGTGGGTGATTTCTTTTGATGTTTACGGTCGAAGACGTCGTGGTTGAACTTGTAGAATTAGAACTGCTGATAGTAGAGTCGTTATCACTATCTCCTTCCTCTTCCTTCAAGTCGTTAGAATCTTTATCTTCTTCCATATCAGGAAAAACACTTTCTGCTGTCTTCTGTTCGTCGTTGGTCTCAATACAGAGTCTTTTTGCTTCCCTGTTGTTCGCCATGTTGTCGTGTTTGTCAAAAAACGCGCCAGGTCAGCGGAAACAACACTGCAGGCTCAGCTGGGTAGACATGATGATGCCGGGTGCTGTCGGGTACCCGTAGGGGGTAGGGGACAGGAATAAAACAGGTTCGTTTTATCGATGCGGTTTTTATTTGAATCAGTTATTACTGGCTTTTATTAATGCAAATCTTTTTAGACCAATATTGTTTGTACATTCGTCTTCAAGTCTGGTTCACCGCGACGTTTGTTTGAATAACACAGGTATCCCAACAATCCCCTGTCACTCCGATCACATGATGCTCTCGTGTCGATGAATTAGCTCGTGATTTGACACACATCGACACAAATCCCGTGGAACTGTTGAAGATGGAGAAGTTAGTAGTGTCGATCATCCTTCTTCTTGCATTTTCAACGTGCTTAACGTCGGCCTTCAAGGTAAACGTTCATAGTAATGTAACCTTAGATGAAAACAAAGTGTAGTCTCCAACTACATAAATAGTCGAGCCTTCGTACACATTGACTCCAACATACGTATTTATTAGCTCCAGCTTGACAATTGTTCGACAATTACACGGAAGATTGTACGATTCGCTACAACAAACAACTTATAATTAATAAGCTTACAAAAAGGGGCAAACCAAAAAGAAAAAAAGAAAAAAAAAGAAAACTACTTACAAGTTAATGATGCACGCTCGACTGATTCTTGATGTTAAATATTTATGGCGCCTGCGGGGCCTCTAGTCTGCGGAAATTCTTAATCTTACACAAAGCTTTGGGGTTGAGGAGAAAGTTCGAAACTACTGCTTTCACTCTTTATTTCGATGCTTGTCAAATTTTTTTGATGTTGCGTATTTCGAATTTAAGCTTGGTATTTCTTGAACATTATAGAATAAAACGGTTGCAATAGAGATAAGGATTTCAAATATCTTTTATTGACAGATTTCCAGTCAGTCTTGCGAAAATGGGCCATTTCCACCATCGGACAGGTAAGCTGTTGTATAAAATTTCCAAGCCAACCACAGGGACCCCAATTAAGAGGAGTATACTCCCATTTGGAGTTCACTGATCTGCTCAGTCTTAGCCTCGATTGTGTACGAAGGCATTATTTTCTTTCATTAAGGCCTGTTGTAGAGTAAGGAATGTACGCACTAAGGAGCAATCCAAGTTGATTAGATTCCACAGGTTTTAGTTGAGTGGCTGAATATTTAACGCACAAACAAGACTAAGGCTGAGCAAAAGGGAACTCGAAACTAGAGTATTATCCCAAAACAAGTGTTCTCTTGGATTATTAGATTAAAGATACAGCTATTTTGGTCACTAAGTAAACTTGAAATTTTTGGACCAAATTTGTAGCGTCATTGAAATAGAAAAATAAACAAATTGTGTAGGACTAGAACCTGTGGGAGGCATGGGTAGCATGTTCACAGTGAGAGCACTCCCCTCACACCGATGTTACTTGGGCTCAACCCTTGGACTTGTCATATGTGAGTAGAGTTGTTTGTTGGTTTTCTCTTGTGCTTCAATGGGTTTTCTCCAGGTTCTCTGGTTTTTCTGAGCCTTCTGCAAGAGTCAATGTCTAAATTCTAATTCAATCTACAAAGGGCCTAGATGAAAATTATTGTGTAGTGTCTTGTTTTGTGGCCTTTAACATTTTGAAACTGAAATGGAATTTAAAAATGTCAATTTCAGGTGATGCTCTGCTCATCGCTATACAAGTCCAGTTCCTCATTGCTGCACTTTACTTAAAACAGTCTTATTTATTAACTTTACCATTAAGTMGTTATGGGAAAATACAAACAAACAAAGACGACAATATTAAAGTGGGGAAAAAAAACAAAACAAGACAAGAGTCATGTAGAATTTCTAAAAAATTTTAATTTCAGTCCACAAGTTCCTACAGAAGTTATCAATTTGGACGTGAGTCCTGGAGACAGATATAATGACTTGGCAGCCAAGAAGGACAAACAAGTAAGTGACTATAAATTAGGTTGGGGTTTTGCACCATCATGATCCCACGCCCATAATACAGCTTGGGATGTCTGTGAACACTAACATCTGATATCAGATCAAGGAAAATAATCAATTAATTAATTGTCCAAAGTTTAGAATAACATCTACTGTAACATTGGAAATGCCTAACCAGAATTGGAATTGTCCGGTCTAATCTTTGCCTTGCCAGTAATTTTGTCCAGTAATAAGATATGCCTGAGCTAATGACCAGCAACTGACGATTCAACTGACCAGCAATTATCTTTAGGCCTCTATTTTAAAAAGTTAAAATATCTACCAGTGATATTGCATGATTCTTTACGATAAAAACAGTTGCAAGAAGCTACCAAAAATTCATATTCCATATTGTTTATTTATTTATTGTATATTGTTTAGTATTTCAGAAATTAGCTGGCAATTTATTGCTTTTGAGCTTTGATAATGTCAACCGACCAGCCGGACCTTGCAGAATCATAATTTGATTGAAGAAACTTATGTTTAATTGATTTTGATGGTTTCCTGTGTCCTGGTGGGGTTGAGTGGGTCCTGGGCAGGAACAGATTTCATTGGTTGGAAACAGGGAACCTGGCTATATATTTTTTGCTTCTTTTAGAAAAATAACTTTGCTCTTTGTGGGTTTCCTGTGTTGTGATCGGTTTCCTATTACATAAGCTGTAATGAGATCTGCGCTGTGATAAGATCGGCGCTGTAAACTGATAGCCGATTAAATTCAAATCAATAACCGTTGGTGTTTTTTTTCCGTATGGGTTGCACTTTGGTATGCAGTCAAAAGAAGAGAAGGGCTGCAACAAAGCATAGTTAATAAGTGTAATAGCAAAGTTACTTTTCTAAAAGAAAAAAAAAAAAAAAAAATAGCCAGGTTCCGGCTTGTTTGTTGGTTTAGTTGGTGCATTTGATGCAGAAATCAAATCAATCAGAAATCTCATTGCAAATTGTACATAATATGATGTATTAATAAATGATATGTTTGATATCTCTTGTTAGTTACATGCGTTACTGGACTATATCAAGAATTTTACTAGTTTTATTTTGAATGGTAAACTCTTTGGTATCATTGACAAGGATTTGGTAAGTTCTTATTAATGGTATTGTTTCTTATTATATGGCAAGGTAATTTCACGCGCTTTGATTGGTCAATTTGCGGTCCATAACTTACGGTACGGACTGAAAAATGAAATGGTTCACTGAGTGTACGTACTTATGATCTTTTAAAACATTCAAATCTTTATCAAGAAAATATATTTCTGGATGAAAATCGTCGGAAAACCTTCAATAAATAATTAAAGATAACTGAAAGTCACTGGCATTTAATGTAAAACTTATCAAACAAGTGACAACTCTTTCATACAAGCGAAACTCTTTCGATCAAGGCTCTACACGGCACTAGTTGAGCGATTTTGTACGACTAGAAAAAACTAGAAAAACTATGCTAAAGCTAAAACTATGTCAAACTACGAACTAAAGGGTGGTGAACAGCGGCTAATTCAGTAAATGAAATAAAGATAGGTTTACCGTAGAATTAACGTAAATTTGTTATTTCAGTGAGTTAACAWCGTCCAGTTTGAACTTATCTGAATCGATCGGGTGAAGAAGCCAGTAGTTTCTTTCGTAAATGTTTTAAGCAGTTTTCTAGGCTCATCCGCTCTTGAAGTATGTCCATATTTCAGTAATATTTCACCCCCATTTGAATTTGAATGTATTTTTAGACAGGAGAGTTGGCAGTACCTTTTTTAATTGAGTCGAAAGTGTGCCTTCTTCATGACTTCAGCTATTGTACATATGGCGGCCTGCTTCAAACAGTCAAAACGTTGAAAATTGACGAAAACTATCCATGTTCAGCCAGCCGTAATTTT